TGTAGAGAATCGAACGGGCTATCGAATGGTGTGCGTTGCAGAGGATAGCACGCGCCACGTGCACCGGGGAGGCACTTTTATTTGAAAAATTGACGTTTAGGACGGATTTGGGAATTCATATTCTTTTTAGGTGACCGTCAGACGGAGCGAGTTGAAACAACGCCTATTGGCAAGAGAAATATACCGGCTCTCAAGGAAAAATTGTGAAAAGCTGATTGATCCAAATCAAGGTGGTGCAAATCACGGGAGAAAATGGTGTTTGTCAATGATGTGCCACTTTATTCATTAAACGGGTTTTGCTGCATAACCTGATGCTGATACCTTTGGCAATTGAATATGGTACCATATGATAGACCATTCAATTCTGTCCAATATTCACTCTTAATTTTTGCCTAATGAACAACAGTATTCTTTTAAATGTAAATGTTCCAAACTATTACAATGTCATTTTAAAGGGAGATAATGAGCTTTCTTTTTTCTTAAATAAAAATTACTCGACATCTATACTATTTCTACTGTAGTTTCTATAAAATATGAAAATTTCCTAGCACATTTTCGTATGTGAAAAAGGTTTTTATTTTTGCAAAAAAGAAGCAGTACTTGCAGTACCTGTAACACCCACCGAAATGCGTTGTCCTTCTCTATAAAAAGTCGCAGTATATGGCGCTTTTGTTTCAAACAGCGACGCTTGGGTTTTTGTTTATGTTATCGCCTTGTCGTTGCTTGGTTGTAAGGATTCTAATTTTAATTAGAGTTAATTCGGTTTAGAATTAATTAGATTCTAATTCGGGGGTACATAGTGCCTACTCTTCTTTGTTTCCAAGTATTATTTTGCGCCACAAATGAATGGCATGCGCCAGAAACGCAGCCAAATCTTGCGATTGCGACTACGAAATTCATTATTTTGGCCTCAGAGCCTGAAGTGAAAAATACAAGCATATTTATTTCAAAAAGACTTCAGGTTTGTCGAACGGTGTTATGAGAATTTTGATAACAGTACTGCATAAGTTTTTCAGTGATGCCGCAAAAGTGTTGTATCTATCTTCTTTTATTGTGCAGTCGGCGGGACCGATTCAAAATTGAGTCGTTGCTACTAAAATAGCAGCATATGGCGACAGATGATGAACAGGAAAAATAGTTGCGTAAATTTAGACATAAACCACCCCCAAACCATGAATATCTTTTGAAGGCACTATAGACGACCATTAACTAACTAGATGTGATGAAGATCAAATGTAAGGAATACGCTCATTTTACAAAATTACATGCAAGTACCAAAAAGTGATGTAAGTACTTATTCAACGGTCATTTTCAGCGCTCCCCGCTAACGTGACTTCAAGTTGAGATATTTGCGGCAAGGTACCGAATTGAGCAAAATGGTTTTAATTTACATTATAACTTGTTGTGTTTTGTCAGAAAATGGTCCTAACTCAGATTTTGTGGAAAAAGGTCATAATCTCCCTTTAAGCGAAATTCATTGATGGCCCTCAAAAGACTTCACGTCAGTTTTCCAATCATTCAAAAGTAAAACGCATGATAATACGACACGGGCACCTCGATGTGATGGATCTTTTTGTTTCGCTACAAAATGTTTGGCCGTCAAAAAGCAATCGAACGGAATGGATACCAGACAAATCGACACAGGACCAACCCAATACCCACGGGTCAAAAATAACCCTTCTTCGCGTTGCGGAGCACGCGGGTAACCCTAGTTTTCTTAACCATTGTTGTCTCTTTTTGCACGACCTAAATAAGATAATCATCACAACCCATAATTTCACGCGACATGTGTGATAAAAGAACCTCTGCAACAGTTTGTTGTTGTACACAAGATAGGAATGCCATGCATGTAGTACGCGATATACCTGTTTCATGTGGTGAGCCAATTAATGTAGGGGTGTATTGACACCTTTTTTGGCATCCAATTGACACTCTCGTAACACCTTTATGGGTTTGTACCAAAATATACATCGCTGGGGTATTATACGGGCGTCAGCTATGACACCCATCAAAGTGTTTTAGCAAACACCTGATAAGGTGTCTTGCACCGGTGTTGACACCCAGTAACACTTAACGGGTGTCAAAATCGACACCCGTATGACACCCCAGCGAGGTACATTTTGGTACAGTCCCTTAAGGGTATTAAAAGGGAACATTTTTTTTCTCAGTGTAGGTCATGTAGGTAGGAAATGGGAGATGTTCAAAACCGTGTTACTTTTGAAACACCCTGTAGAGCGCCGAGAGTTGACCGCTTCGTCCGTCACGATACATAGGAGCTTCCTATATTTGGAGATCCGTAGTTGCGGCGCCCGCCACGGGCGGCGCTGGCCCGGCGAGCGGCGGTGACCCGACCGCTCGCCTTAGTAACGGATGTCAATGACTGAATCAGTAACAGTAACGGTAACAGTATCAGTATCAGTAACGGATGTCAATAATTGAATCAGTAACAGTAACAGTATAAGTAACGGATGTCAATAACAGAATCAGTCTAACTGAATATTGTAAATGTTTTAGTCATTTTCACGCGAAACGAAGCTTATTGGTATCCGAAATATTGGCGGAGGGGGGGGGGGGGGGGTCTGTGCCTCCAGCTTAAAGGGAATCTCCCACATTCAAAAAAGTTAATGAATTGGCATGAAAGTGATGTAGCTCGCATGGGCGGCGCCACCGGGGGGGACGGGGGGGACAGGTCCCCCGCTACCGAAAGTTAGGGGGGTACAGTACCCCCCTATCGGCGAGGCCCGTTCAATAGTTGATAATAATGCATTGTAGAGTTATCCGTCGCATTTAATGCATCGTTGGTTAATCAAGGCAGGTTCTGAATAAAGATTGCTGTTGGGATGTATCGCAGGGGGTTCTGGCCATCTGCAAAAGGTGTGGAGCTGTGATGCCTGTAGTTATAAGGTGATCGGCAGGGCCTCGGGGATCGTGCCCCCTCCCCTTTTTGGGGCGCCAGGCAGGGTTATTAACTCCCCATCCCACTGCCAGACCTCATTGCCGACAAAACCAAGTTTACTGAAATTCCATATATTTCCGTTACTATATGGATATTTTCCATTCCTAATTAGTCAAATTCAAGCATGGCAGTCTACCACAGGAACCATTTGAAATCTATGCCATTTAACCCCAGCACTTGTGGGGAGAAGTGTTCGGATAGATCACAGGCAGGACCAAAAAAGCACGCAGTAGCCCAAGACCTTATAATTGGGTAGCATCGGCTCCCTCTCGTCAAGGGGTTCGATAGCACTCGTTTTTTTTTCTGTAAAACTAAGTTCGGTCGGCGGCCACACGGCTGGGGGTCTAATCGAGCCCCCCTCCCCTTCTTACGTCAGCGGCTGTGAAAATGCCATTACCAGCTGGTGAAACATGGCAGTTGCTTTTGCATGAGTGCACGAAAGTGTTTTATAGGTACGTGATACGTGAAAGGTTCTACATGAAAATTGAGATACACCAGCTTATCAAATTGTGCTCACTGTGGTGCGCTCGGTTTTACCTTGACTAGTCTTTGAATTCTGGGGTGAAACAGACCAGTCAAGAAACCTGTTCCATAAGGAGAGCCACTAATGCTAAAGAGATGAGGGATGAGGTTTCCAGGGACCTTCATTACCTCCCAAAGGGGGTGCCCCGCCATTTGCCAATCCCTGCTGTAGTTGTTACGATTGGAGGGTGAATATGAGAACGATGCAGGTCGTGCCAGCTCGATCATGACGAATACAATGGTGCCGACATCACAGCTCTACTGCCATTTTTGACGAAGTTAATCAACAAGGACCGGAATCCTACCCTGGGGCATTTCAACTGCAGAGGTCGCCGGACCTGAGACCCTTTCACTCAATTTTTTCAACGGTGCATGCGCTCGTTTTTCCCGCGAAGCTCTTGGTAAGTATAATCCATCAGAAAGTGTGATCAAATAACGGCTGGTGACCTTCCATGACCTAGCATGACCTTTTGAGTGACCACCGATGACATGACCAGTCACTGACGGCTAGCCATTAGCTGCACCCTGCCTGTTGCATACATGGATCAGGTGGTGATGTCATGATTCTGAAATTATATTGCAGTTTTGGCGCACTTGTCAGAGCAGAAGACATTCCCACTTTTCCTCCATGACTATGGTGAAGCCATGAAGCTGACCAGACGTAAGATCGAAAATTTGAAAGTACGAAACGTTAGAATAGTTGACACTGCTACTCATACCTAAGCAATTCGCAGCTTGTAGGAAACCAGCTTTGAGTTGGCAAGACTGCAAATTTTGATTTAGAGGCAGAGGCAAGCATGCTTGAAAAGGTGATCGATCTTAGGTGTCCTAGGTTAAGTTTGGAAACGGGATGCACCATTCGATGTGTTTTGGGCTTTGCCAAGTTTCGCGGCGTTACGTGCCTCGTTTGTTTTTGCATACACGATCAGTATCTACTTTTGGGATTTTCGGTCAGGCAAGCCCCCGTCCCCGTCCCCCCCTATCGAAAACCCGTGGCGCCGCCCCTGGTAGCTCGGTTCAGAAAGAGCAAAAACGAATATCTACCAAATTTCATCGAAAAATATTCACCGGTTTTCAAGATATTAGACTTTTACTTTTGTTTACTTTTTGGGATCTCCGCTGTTCCTAGCGACTTTATTTGAAAGTGCGGCATTTGTTGCGCGCAAAGCAGCATATACCACCGCGTGCTACAAAACGTTTTAGTCAAACATTTAAAAATCGTTAGACATCTGCGCTGACGTCACACATTCAGAGGGGTATTCCTATGCATTAGCCCCTCTGAATCAAAATGCTGCAATTTTGAAATTCAATATTTCCGATTTAAGGCATTTCTCGATGTTGTGAGTGCCGAAACCGGTAATTGTGAGCCAGGGACCTCATTTTGGCTATCTCAACTCAAATCTAATGTTAAGGTGGGAGGGTCCCTTTAATTACGGGGGGGGGGGGGTCCAGGAGAAGGGGTCCGGACCTCCGCAGCCCCCATGTGTTGGTCGGTGCTCGGGCAGCGGTGACGGCTGACTACCTTTGGGTCGGTGCTCGGGCGAGCTGCGCGCCTCAGCCTTCATGTTGCGGATGACGGCCGTCGGCGTGAAGGCCAGCGAGGCCGCAGTGGAGCTGGCCTGCCGCCGGCGGTCGCCGTCCAGCGGCGCACACTTGTCCCTGCAGCACGCCAGTACATGTTATTGTAGAGACAACGTGGCGTCACAGACACTTCCTGGCAGGCACACGCCGGTGCGTTCAATCACAGACGCATGTCAGTCAGCACCAAGTCAAGTTAGTGTAGGTGTAGTCACAGTCAAAGGCCATGCCCCAGTGTGGCTAATTCCATGTTGCGTTGGGAGGGGATGCAGAAAAAACAGGTAGAAGATGTCGTTATTTTCATAAAACTTGACTATGACACTTTTAACTACCCTTTTTATAGAATTCATGCGAAAACGATGTAGAAATATGGATATAAGGGAGAGTGGGGTAAAGTGGACCACTGGGGCAAAGCGAACCACCGCTTCTGAAGCCCCAATAAATGGCCCCTTTCAAAAACAAAGATAGCCATTAATATAGACAACACGAACTATATAGATAACAACAACGATCTCACGCAAAATCATAATTTCAAGATCCAAGATCCCCAAGATCCCGTACGCAAAATAAAAATGTAGGGTCCAAGATACCCAAAATCCCACGCCAAATCAAGATTGCTAGATCCAAGATCTCCAAGATCCCACGCAAAATCAAAATTGTAGGATCCAAGATCCCCAGGATCCCACGTCAAATCAAGATAGCTGGATCCAAGATCTCCGAGATCCCACGCCAGGGCTGCGGAGTCGGAGTCGGAGTCGGAGTCGGTCGAGTCGACAGTTGTGACCGGAGTCTTTCCGTCTCTCTCTCCGGAGACCGGAGAGAGAGAGAGAGAGAGAGAGAGAGAGAGAGAGAGAGAGAGAGAGAGAGAGAGAGAGAGAGAGAGAGAGACAGAGACAGAGAGAGAGAGAGAGAGAGAGAGACAGAGACAGAGACAGAGAGAGAGACAGAGACAGAGACAGAGACAGAGACAGAGACAGAGACAGAGACAGAGAGGAGAGAGAGAGAGAGAGAGAGAGAGAGAAAGAGAGAGAGAGAGCATTTATTCACACTAGAACAGCATAAAATTCATAAATAGCATAAGCAATTGGCGCAAAAGTGCTATGCACTTAAATTTATGGCGCCGCTTGCATGACAGTACGGTTACTTTTTTGATTATATTTTTAAGTATGTCAATGTCTCTCAAAACAGTGCTCACAATAATTCAAGGTCAGGTCGGTCAAGAAAGGTTATCACAAAGTAGCCACTGAACGGGCTATGTGCGACACATGTTTTATGGGTCATTTTGCCCATAGAATGCAAGTAGAGTGTGCCAACCCAGACAGTCTGGCGCCCCCCGGCACCACACTGGGCCAGCCGACACAGAACGACGCCCCCGGAGAAGACGCCACTGGTCACGCCGCGCGGCGAGCGCGTTCCACATAGTGCCGATCCGCCGACACGCCGCTGAAAGCTCACCTGTCCGCCGACACGCCGCTGAAAGCTCACCTGTCCGCCGACACGCCGCTGAAAAGCTCACCTGTTCTCCTGGCGTTTGCGGAAGTTTTCCTTTTGTTCTTCGAGCTTGCGCTTGATGAGCGCCTGCTGCAGAATGTGCTGGGTGTGCAGGCGCATTTCTTGTGGCGATGGCACTCGATGGGGCGCCGGCGCACTGCTCAGGTGCTGCTGTCCCACGGCGTGTGGCGGCTCCGGCAGCGGCGAGACGCGCTGCTGCGGCAGCCGCAGCACGGCCACGATGATGTCCCGCAGACGCGGCTGAAGTACCTGAGACACGGAGACGGTGACACCAGCCGACCGGACAGGCAGCACACCAGACAGACCAACCGCGCCCCGCTGGCATCTCCCGACCCCACCGGACACCAACAGGCAGCACACCAGACCACCCCACTATGTTTTAACTCGGGACCAAAACTGGCCAGGGCTCATAACTAAGAAACTATGTGAGATACAGACGTGTTTTTGGGCTCAAACGAAACGTTGGAGACTAACGATCATTTAACCCTCGCCCGTATTGGTGTTTTTCCAGCCACGAACGTATAGGGGGGGGGGGGGTCCGTTGGACCCCCCCTTGCCGTTTCGCCCCTGATCGAGCTAGAGCTTCGTGGAAAAAACGAGCGTGCTGCCCGCGACGAGAGGAAGCCGATGATCCAAAAGTCGGGAAAATCGGGACCTGTTAGAACGTCGTAAAACGTGGCTGCTATGGGGTTTTTCGGGGTGCTGATCACGAATATCATGTTAGTTATGATCACTGATGATGTCTTCATGCATTAAGGCCAGGTCGGGTCAGGTCAGGTCAGGTCAACCAGTACGGATTTTGCCGGGTATTCGTAGTAGCCTCTGACAGCTTCGTAACATGTTACGAAGGCACCAAAACTGCTTCGTAAATGTTCAAATGGTTGCTAAATTCGAATTCAGCTCCAAAAACTAGCCTAGAAACATGTAAAACTCGAAAAAGTGAACCGAGGTCATCAAAGGTCAATGACCTGACCTGACCTTCCGGTGCACAGTGGGCGATCCGGCCGGTGTAGCCTCGCGAAACCTATCGGCATTCATAACATCCATGTTTTTGAAGCTAGAACCACAATATTTAGGAGCAACCTTCTTGAATATCCAATGAGCATATGTTTTAAATAAGGAATATCTCTTATAGGATTTGTGCTCTGTGGCGAGCTTGCAATTTGTCTAATTGCTGCTCGAATAACGCATGAATACTTTTGAGGGTAGGTCGAAATTTATGACGATATGAGCTGGGTAGGACATTGAAATGGTGTGTACCTCCATAGAAAATTGCTTCCAAACCAATTTTTTATTCAAACGATCATGCCCTACCAATTTGTACAAATCATGAAACAGCGTAAATCTCGCCCGGCAAGGCCCCATATCATAACGTGACCCAAGCAGCGGGTTTGGTTTTTGGTAAATAACTTCGCAAAAAATGGCCGCAGAACCACGATTTTGACATTGTCGTGTTCGCCTTGCTCAGGCGCGTCGAATGGTATACCTTTGTTTAGGTGAGGCCACCGTAAGGTCAACCTGACCTTGACCTCGAGTCAAGGTCAGGTCAGAGGTCTTCAAATCACGAAGTTGGCCGAAGGGGGTCATATCGCATATCATTCGATTCGGCAGGTCTTCCGGAGTCCATTGGTGAACTTGTCGACTCTCTAGCTCAATTTGATAGGGAGTTATTGACGAAAAACTTGTATGACCCTAGTGACATCATAAATGACGTCATGCAAGGTCAACAATGCAAAAATGCAGCATCAGATCTTGCAAGGAGTGCATGTGTTGCGTACTGCAACAGTGTACGTACTGTACAGGGAGAGTTAGTTCTATGGCGATATCATATTAGTTTATTGTAAAAATCGGCATCTTACAAAACACTAAAATCCACCATGAACAATAATTTTCTCTCTCTTCTTTTACATGATCACTTTGTCACACTGATCTTGATTTTATTGATCCTCGCGCAGAGGCGCATGAATCTGGCATTGCAGTCCTCTGATGGACGTGCGCATCTAAATGAAGCATGATTGAATGAATGAATCAATGAGAATGAATGATGCTCGAGCCGTCCTCAACATCCCGGCCTCCTCGAGCCTTGTCTCGAGATAATTGGGAGGACGACGAGTTTCCGCACCGGTCGATGGAGATGTCCGTGCATGGTCCGTACCCGTGCCGATCGGACCGCCCCATCTTGACCCGTCATCACTTCTTCAACTATGCCTTTCGGCCATAGCCCTCGGGGATGGCGTTCATCTGCCACGATGACCACATCACCGATTTCCACATTCCGCGTGCTGTTCAGCCACTTCGATCGCCTGCTTATAGCTGGTAAGTATTCGCGCATCCAGCGACGCCAGAAGTGGTCCGCCAGTGTTTGTGCGTACCGCCATCTCTTCCTCAAGTCGCCGTCCTGCTCTTCCGTTCCAACAGGGTATGACGCTGTCGCTCTTCCGATGAGAAAATGGAACGGTGTCAGAACGTCATCATCTGCTGGGTCCACTGAAACGTGAGTCAAGGGCGTTGAGTTCATGATCTTTTCCACTTCGCAGAGAAGTGTCATCAGCACTTCATATCTCGGCCTCTGCTCCTTTAGGATGAGTCTTAGGGTTTCCTTCACCGTGCGGATTCCTCTCTCCCAGACACCGCCGGCCTCCGGATCAGCGGGGGGAGAAAAGTGCCAAGTGATCTTGCTCACTGCTAGCTTTTCTCTCATCCTGTTCTGGTCTAGGCTTTCAATGCATTTTCTGAGTTCCTTTTCTGCGGCTCGAAGATTCGTTCCATTATCGGACCACAGCTCTCTCACGTTTCCACGCCTGGCCTGAAATCTTGAGATCGCCATAAGAGTCGCCTCTGTGTCGAGGCTGTCTGTCAGCTCCAGGTGGGTCGCCTTTGTCGCCATGCATCTGAAGAAAATGCCCCACAACTTCACCGTGGACCTACCCCTTGTTGAAAGGATTGGACCGAAATAATGTACCGCAGTAGAGGCGAATGGACCATCCAGCATAGTCACGCGTGACCTCGGCAGTTGTCCCATCTGTGCTGACTGAGGCTGAGCCTTTCGGTTTTTACAGACTTGGCAGTGTTTCACCACAGAGCGGATTGCTGACCGCGCGTGCGGTATCCAGCAGCGCTGCCTCAGCTCTGCGAGAACAACTTCATAGCCCGATGACCCATCCGCTCATGTAGATGTTGTATCAGCAGCTGAACGTACCGGTGACGACGATCCAGTATTGGAGGCTGCTTTGCGCTGGGGCTCAGTGATTGAGCATGCTTCATCCTCGTGTCCACACAGAGCAGACCGTTGACCAGGATCGGTGACAAACCCGCGATCGTGCTCTTCGGATCAGCTGGCAGCCCGGCTCGTAAGTCCTTCAGCTCTTGCGAGTAGTGTTCTTCCTGAACTGACTTCATCCATAAGTGTTCTGCTTCAGTCAACTCTTCTACCGAGAATTCGCCTGATTCTCCGTCTCGCCGGCTTGTCAACCAGCGTCTCATTGTCGCTACAGCGCGCACAGCCACTGTCCACCGAGAGAACCGATCTGGATCGGGTAGAACTGAGGCAGTGGTGGCGGCGAGTGACAGCACTGTCGCCAGTACTGTTTTGGTCTCTGGATCATCTTTTAGGATCACATCAGGTTCGACATGATCGCTACAAGGCCACTCTGTCTCTGGAAGCCACAAGAAGTCAGGGCCGCGTGCCCAGCTGCTTTCCGGCCTCAGGTCATGAAGACTCTGACCGCGCGATGCGGCGTCCGCTGGGTTTAGCGCAGTGGGAACGTATCGCCAGTCCTCCGGCCTCGTGACGTCATGGATCTCAGCTATCCGGTTGCTGACAAACACGTGATATCTTCGCCTGCTGGACTGAATCCACGCAAGAACATTCTTTGAGTCTGACCAGCACAGAGTAGATTTGATCACCACTCGTGCCTCTTTCTTCACGCAGGAGATCATTCTAGTGAGCAGCACCGCAGCTTGAAGCTCCAATCTGGGGATAGAAAGTCTTTTGGTGGGGGCTAGCTTTGCTCGAGCTCCCACAAAGCTGACGTGGACTTCGCCATCTACTTCCCACCGGTAGAAGAGGACTGCGGCGAATCCTCTCTCACTAGCGTCGCAAAATCCGTGCAAGTCCACCTCTTTGATCAGATGCCCCTGAAAGATATGCCTGGGTAGCTGTACATCACAGATTCTTCGCAGCTCTTGGGTCCACCTCTGCCACTCTGCGTTGATGTCAGATGGGATACCATCATCCCAGTCGAGCTTGTAATCCCAGAGTTGTTGAAGCACCAGCCGGCCTCGAAGATGCCAGCCAGCCAAGAAACCGATCGGGTCATACACAGACATGACGGTCTTCAGAATGAGGCGCTTCGTTGGGGATTCTGGCGGCTCATGAGCTCGATATGTGAGAATGTCCTGTCCAGGTTTCCAGACGACGCCTAGAGCTCGGTGACATTCTTCATCATTGAGCGTGATGTCCTCATCATTCCGTTGCTCAGGCTGGAGTTGGCTGAGAACTGCGTGTGAATTGGAAGCCCAAGGACCCAGCTCAAAGCCTCCCCGACTGAGGACTGTTGTCAGCTTGTTGATGAGCGTAGCTGCTTCATCTTCATTGTCCGTCCCAGTGATCACGTCGTCAACATACGTGTCTTCCATTGCTGCTCTTGCCACCACAGAGTCGCCATCTCCAAAGTCTTCTACTGTTCGCCTGAAGCAGTAGTTGGCCACGCTGGGTGAACATGTTGCACCGAATATGAGCACTGGTGACTCATAAACATCAAACTCGCCGGTGCGTCGTGAGCCACGCCATAGGAAACGTAGGCTTGGGCGGTCTTTTACGTCCATGCTGACCTGGCTAAACATAGCCACCACGTCCGATGTGACAGCGACTGCCTTCTCCCGCCAACGCTGCAGGATGCCACTCAGCGAGTTCATCAGGTCAGGTCCTTGCATCAATGCATCGTTTAAGCTCATTCCGTGGCTTTTTGCTGCGGCGTCTAGAACCAGACGCACTTTTTTCGGCTTGTTCTGGTTCCTAACGGCCATGAGAGGTAAGTACCAGGTGTTGTCTGGCTCTCGTGACGCCTCCTCCACAGTCAGTTTACGGAAGTGACCGTTACGCAGCATCTTCTGCAGTTTTGCCTCTGTCAGACCTGCCAAGCCGTTGGGGTTGTCTCCAGAGAGTTTGTCTCTGTCCAGGCATCTCTCGAATGCCAACGCTCTCTTTTCAGCCATTTGACGGCTCGGAGGAAACTTTTCACCCCGAT